AAAAAAAAAAGAAGAAAAAAGAAAAGAACCAAGGCAAAAGAGGCTAGAGGCATGGCTCAAGTGGTATGGTGCCTGCCTTGCAAGCATAGATCATAAATTCAATCTCTAGCAATAAAAAATAATACAAATATGTATATGTGCATGTATAGGTATACACACACACCTATGTATGTAGATGGGACTTCTGAAAAAAATATTTATTCCTTGACTGAGGGGAAAAATTCTCAGCTTCAGAACTTTATACCCTCCCATTCCCAGCCTGAAGCTTATATGAGTTCAGATCTTCTTCATCTCCAGAACTGCCAAATATATTTTACATTTGATCTCTTTCAGTCCCAATATGACATGAAAGAATTTGACTTTTCCTTGACATGCAGTTTTTTAATCCCAGTAGTATCTAATCATGTCTCTCATATTGGGCCATTGTTTTTTCCTAGATCAATCACTTCTATCCGGAGTGAACTGATTCCATATTTAGTAAGGAAACAGTTTTCCTCAGTTTCCTCACAACAGAAGCAAGAAGAAAAAGAGGAAGATGTAAAGAAAAAGGAGCTGAAATCCTTAGGTCAGTGCTTGGGTTGATACAGTAAAAACGGGGAGAGGGTGGAAGTACTTGCCCAGCAAGCACAAAGCCCTGAGTTCAAACTCCAGTACCAATTTTAAGGTGGGTAACCCCACTCCTTCAAATCTGGGTAGTGACAACAGATTTTGTCACTATTCTATTTAGGGACAAACTAATTCTTCCAGTCAAGTTCTCTGGTTCATATCACTGTTTGGCTATTTTCCTCACTAGACCATTATGTCTTGATTAGAGGCTAGCCTAAACACAAAAGTTTGGAAGATTCCAGTAGAAATTCTACTTCTGAGTCACACCTCCAGCATCCATTACCCCTTTAAACTCAGCTTACTGTATCTCAGTTCCCTGGTTCCTTAGGCTCTAAGTAGACCTACTGCTGATTAAACTTAGCCTCTTTGTCAAGAGAGGAAAGGTAAAGGAAGTGTACAATAACAGAGACCAACTAGACTGCCTCTCTTCTAGGAGATAGGTCTGTCCTGTTTGCTCTCCTATCACCCCTGCCCTGAGCTGGTTGGTAGGTACTCAGAGAGAGAAGAGAGACAGGGACAGAAACAGGATAGTATAACAAAATAGTCAAGATTATAAGACTTGGCATCAAACAGACTAGAATTTGAAATCTTACTGCTCTTTTTTAGCTCTGTGACCTGAGGCAGATTACTCATTATTCTCAGTTTTCATACCAAATAAAAGATAACAAAGGTTTATTGTGAGAGTTGAAAACCTGAATGACCCCTTTCTCTGACTCTATAGTGATATGCTATTTCTGTCATAGCACAGCTATCAAGACAAAGCCAAGATGGCTGGTCACTAAGGCCTAGATACTTGCTCGTCTCATTTCATGATTTTAATGGTCATATTTTAATTTCCTTAGTAGTCCTTGTTTATCAAACTTGCTTTTAGGCCCTCTCTAGGCATTTTTATAGCATATAGTATCTCAAATACATAAGAAAGTACACTATCTCTTCTAACTTTCTCTCTCTGGTTTTGAGTTCCGGGAGGAAAAGTGTTAGGTATATCCTCTTTGAAATTTTGACTGAGTCTATATCCTTTCTGTCTTCTCTCATTCACTTGCTTGGTTTGAATGTATGTTCTGAAGATATTTATAGTTTTATAAAAGAACCCAAAACACTCACCTTGGCTCCCTATGATGCCTGCTGGAATGCTTGTCGAGGAGACAGGTGGGAAGACTTGTCCAGATCACAGGTGCGCTGCTATGTCCACATCATGAAAGAAGGGCTCTGCTCTCGAGTGAGTACATTAGGACTCTACATGGAAGCAAACAAACAGGTAAGAAGATAGATTTAGAAGAGGAATCATGGATCTTATACCTTAGTGGATATATTCCTTGTCTCATTAGGTACATAGTAACTTGTTCAGAATCCTCCACATTTCCAAGGCTGAATAAGACCTAGCACATGAGTGGAGACCATTGGGAGACCCAGGTATAGCAAAGGTCAAGTAAGGGGCCTGGTTTTAGAAGTGGGAACTCTAGGGTTAAAGGAAAAGGCTAAGGTCTCCAGGAAGGCTAACTTTTAGCCTCTGGTTTTAGCATCTTCCTCATATTCTTTTCAGCATAGAAATGTCTACAGAACTTCATAAAGAATCATACTTTCTTTTTTTTTTTTTTTTTTTGTCGGTCATGGGGCCTGAACTCTGGGCCTGCGCACTGTCCCTCAGCTCTTCAGTTCAAAGCTAGCTCCCTCCCTACCACTTGAGCCACTTCTAGCTTTTTCTGCTTATCTGGTGCTGAGGAATTGAACCCAGGCCCCATGCATGCAAGGCAAGCACTCTACCACTGAGCCAGGTAAGCAGACATAAAGGAGGTTTTTTTTTTTTGGTCGGTCATGGGGCTTAAACTCTGGGCCTGGGCACTGTCCCTCAGCTTTTCAGCTCAAGGCTAGCGCTCTACCACTTGAACCACAGCACCACTTCCAGTTTTCTGGTGGTTTATTGGAGATAAGAGTTTCACAGACTTTCTTGCCTGGGCTGGCTATGAACCTCAGATCTCAGCCACCTGAGTAGCTAGGATTACAGGTGTGAGCCACCAGTGCCCATCAGGAGGTTTCTTAATAAAGGAATAGCTAGGGGGCTGGGAAGGTGGATCAGTGGTAGAGTGCTTGCCTTGCATGCCTGAGGCTCTGGGTTCGATTCCTCAGCACCACATAAGCAGAAAAAAACAAGTGGGGCTGAGGCTCAAGTGGTAGAAGGCTAGCCTTCAGCTGAAGAAGCTGAGGGACAACATCCAGGCCCAGAGTTCAGGCCCCACAACTGACAAAAAATAAATAAATAAAAAATAAAGGAATAGCTAAGTACCAGTGGCTCATACCTATAATACTAGCTACTCAGGAGGCTGAGATCTGAGGATCACAGCTAACCCAGACAGAAAGCCCCCTAGAGACTCTTATGTCCAATAAACTACTCAAAAAACCAGAAGTGGCACTGTGGCTCAAGTGATAGAGCGCTAGCCTTGAGCAGGCCCAGGGACAGCACCCAGGCCCTGAATTCAAGCCCAGGACTGGCAAAAAAGAAGAAGAAGAAGAGGAAGAGGAGGAGGAGAAAAAGAGGAGGAGGAAAAAGAAGAAAAAAGAAAAAGAAGTGAAGGAATATTACTGGGTGCTAGTGGTTCATGCCTGTAATCCTAGCTACTTAGGAGGCTGAGATCTGAAGATAGAGGTTCAAAGTCAGCCCAGGCAGTATAATCTGTGAAACTTTTTTTTTTTTTTTTGGTCCTTGGGCTTGACTCTGAGCCTGGACACTGTCCTTAAGCTCCTTTTACTCAAGGCTAGCACTCTTCCATTTGAGCCACAGCTCCATTTCCTGCTTTTTCTGTGATTAATTAGAGAGATAAGTTTCACAGATTTTTCTGCCCAAGCTGGCTTTGAACCACAATCTTCAGATTTCAATCTCCTGGGTAGTTAGGATTGTAGTCAGGAGCTACCTGCACCTAGCTATTTATGTGATTCTTATCTCCAACAAACTACTCAGTAAAAGCCTAAAGTGGAGCTGTAGCTAAGTGAGCTCTAGCCTTAAGCAAAAGAAGCTAAGAGAGCCGGGAGCTGGTGGCTCACGCCTGTAATCCTAGCTACTCAGGAGGCTGAGATCTGAGGATCGCGGTTCAAAGCCAGCCCGGGCAGGAGAGACCGTGAGACTCCT